TCCCGGCGCCTACACTGGGGTGGGCCGGCCGCCCCGCACCATCCTTCTCTTTGGTCCCCGTGGCACCGGGAAGACCCTGCTGAGCCGATGCATCTCTACCCAACTGGGCTCCACCTTGCTCAAGCTCAGCGGAACAACTCTGCTCTCAACCTGGAAAGCTGAAGCTGAGAAGATCCTGCAGACTGTCTTCTTCGTGGCCAGCTGCCGGCAGCCCGCCGTGGTCCTCATCACTGAGGCTGAGTCCTTGCTGGTGGCCCGGGCCGGGGAGGATGGCAACCACGTGAACCTCAAGTCCCAGCTCCCCTCCTCCCTGGACAATGTGCCTACCTCATCCGATCAGAATGTGGTCGTCATTGGGACCACCTCCCGGCCTGGCAGCATGGATGAAGCTTCTCACCGCCGCTTTGCCAAGCGGTTTTACATCTCCCCACCGGACAGCATGGCGCGGCGGCAAATCCTCCACCATGCCTTGGCCCAGCAGAGCTCTTGCCTCAGTGAGCATGAGATGGCCTCCTTGGTGCAGCACACTGAGAGCTTCTCAGGCGGCGAGCTGGTCCAGCTCTGCCAGCATGCTGGGGCCACCACGCTGCGGGGCTTGCCGGCCCAGATCCAACCCACCTCCTACCAGGACTTGGAGAAGGCCTTCTGCAAGGTGCGCCCCGCCGCATCCCAGAAGGAACTGGACTTGTTCTTGGAGTGGGACAAAATGTATGGCACCCAGCACTGACAGCACGGGGACGGGGGCACGAGAACAGACCCTTTGCTCCGGGCTCCGGGGCCGGTTTGGGAATTTTGGCCGATGAACACAAGGTTTGGAGGGGCCTGGTCGGGATCTGCTGGGAACCCCAAAGTGCAGGAGCTCCCCTGGCGGCACCATGTACCTCGAATTTCCAATTTTGGACTCAGCCGGGCTTTTCCTCTCCCTGGATTTATGGGAGCCGGCATCCACTGAACTCAGGATAACCTATTTATTATTTTCCCGTTCATCTGTCCCTGGACCAGCGATGCCGGATCAGGATGCATGAACTCCCCCCGTCTATCAAAGCCTCAATTATTATTTTTCTTAAAATTGCTTTTATTGTTCCTAACAGAAATACCTCGGGCATCTTTTGAGCAGCCCCCTCGTATGTGGCACGATGGCAATGTCCTTCATCGGGGCAGCGGGGAAAAACACAAAACCAGGAGGTTTTGGAGTAAAATGCTGTAGATTGTTTAATATACTAGACTTGGTTGTTTTTTTTTTTTTATTTTTGTAAGGTATGTAGTGGTTTTTTTTTCTTTTTAACTACTCAGGAAAAGAATTACCTCAGAAAAAAAAAGAATGTGTTTTTAAAACAACTCTTTTGTCTTTGCAGAAAAAGAAAAAAGAGGGTTTTTTTTTTTAAAGAGTTTTTAGACCTGGGACAAAGCTGCCTCCTGCGTTTGCTTCCAGAAGGGGTTGAGGAAGAAAGCAAAGAGAAAAAACAAAACAAAACAAAACAAAACTTGAAGCTGTTACAAAGATGAAAGTTGAATGTATTTTGGGTGCTTTTCATGCATATTATGCCATAATTTTATTTTATTTTATTTTTAAATCATTGTTATTGTAGCGTTTGGTGGAGTAACGTGTCTTCAACGGGCAGTGTTAGTGCCGTAGTTTGGAAGCTGTCGCTAGCACCACTTTTTGGATCGATTCAGCCAGGTCTGTCACCCTCCAGCATCTCCCATCGCATTTCAGTGCTGGTTTTGCACTGGGGATGGGACTGTGGGGGAGGACGATGCTGCTGCAAGGGCGAGGCACTCCCTTTTCAGGTGAAATAAGAGATTTTTGGCTTCCTTTTGCCACCTCTGAGCACCAAGAAACCTTGGGAGAGGCTGGCTGTGGCTGCAAAATTTGGGGGAAATCACTCCCGCCCCCCCAAAAAAAAAGGTCTAGCAGGGCTGAGCACAGGGCTTTGCCCTGGTTCCAGAGCATGAACTGACTCCACCCCCACCCCCCCGCCCCCCGCCTCACCT